TAAAGCAGGCTTCAGTGACGCATTACCAGTTGACACGTAATTCTTAATTGTGCTGGAGTGAATCCCTTCCAACACTAAAATTAAGCACCAAGAAGAAGGAGATAGCCAACCCAACCCCTGCCCAAACAAGACATTGATAGCCAACTCAATCCCTGCCCAAACAAGACATTGATTAGCCAACCCAACCCTTTCCCAAACAACAAGCGATACAATTTGTGAGACTCTTATAGAAATTGAGTGAGACAGTAATAAAACAATCTTCATACTGTGAAAAGCTTAGACATGTAGAATTAAACTAGACGTAATCACATAAACATAATTTAGTAGCAGTAAATGGGTGCAGGTGTTTACATACGTAACGACCTGCTGGTCTATTATACGGGTTCAGGTGACGTCATCAAGTGACGTCCACGGGCAGACGATACAATCTGCAGATAACTATAAATAGCTGTATCAATTTTTTTTTAGGCCCTGCCTTACGGAAATATGACAACTTGTTCAGGGCGAAACCGAAACAGTGTAAATAAACTTCAGTGAATGATCTGCGTGGGTTCTTGTGTGGTGTGTGTGGTGTGTGGGTTGTGTGGCTATAACCTCACACAACCACACCAAACCGAAACAGTGTAAATAAACTTGAGTGAATGATCTGCGTGGGTTCTTGTGTGGTGTGTGTGGTGTGTGGGTTGTGTGGCTATAACCTCACACAACCACACCAAACCGAAACGGTGTTTTCCTAGGATATCTCTTCATATACTTTTACCAGTGTTTCCCCCCCCCCCCCCTCCCAGAGAAAAAAGTATGGAAGAAACACTGAACCGAAACTGTAAATAAACTTAAATTAATGATATGCGTGGGTTCCTGTGTGTGTGTGGTGTGTGGGGGCTGGTACGTTGTGTGGCTACAACCTCACACCACCACACCAATATATCTAACACCCAGACGCGAATCTATACATTTCGCGTACAATGAGGGGGTCACAATTTAACCAGCCTCCCCCATGCCCTAGCCTGAATACGCCACTGAAACCAAAACACTACAAATCTGCAGCAAGCCACTCTTACTTGAGATACACGTTCAGACAACTCCAAGAGAAGAACACACACAACACAGAAGCGAGGAGGCAGTACACACAACACAAGTGCTCTACACAGCACATGCTACAACACATCACGACTACACGGCTAGAACACACTGATAGAAAGTAAGCAAACCAGCTGGGCGGGTGGTTTAATTAGATAGCAGTCATTATCTTATCCAATCATGGCGGGAATACTCGCTTGACCAGGTTTGACTAAGTCTAACTTTACTAGCGAGATGATCGTTACTGGATCCTCTGTGGGTTTGGTATAGGCCTACTGGGCAATGGTCTATGGGGCTCTTCTTTAAGGGGCTAAGGGTCTTTAGATGGCCAATGTCTCTGGCCTACAGTAGTCTACGTGTCTTTAGATGGCCAATGTCTGTAGCCAACATTCGTATTTAACGGGCTACGTGTCTTTGGGTAGTCTAATAAAAAACGTCATACAAAGCTATGACGTATTTAGCAGCGTTGGTCAATAGTCGCTGACCCAAACCCCCGCCCCCTACCACATCGTCATCTCCCGTCACTATTGCTACAAATATGGGTTTTGCCAGAGCTCTATCCTCTAGCCCCCCCCCCCCCCTTAGTTTTAAGACCCCCAGGGACACCTGTAGCATCAGGTAACATTAATCCACATCGAATACGTCACCACAACGCACGTAATCCACTCAAGATTAACCAATTAATCCATATCTCAGACGCAAGCACAAAGAAAAACACCAGACAGTAAATCCAAAGAGATATTCAAACTTCTACTTATAAATCTTGACACGCTCATCAAAAACCACGCCATAGGGCCTACAACAACTGAAATTGTTATTTTTTTTTCAGTATCATTTCTCACATTCAATGAGAGCAAAAAAATGTAGACAAATATACATATCTATTTTAAAAGCAATTATACCAAAACTAATGAAACCATGATACCGTAAAAACTTTAAAAGAAACATCACAAATTTCAACACTAACAAACACAGCACCAAACACAACGACGCCAGCACACAAAGACACCAACACAACCACCACATCACCAGCTTAAAAACCGGAACTCCTCCCCCCAGAAATAGAAACCAGCACAGACCTGCATCTCTACTAAACCACAACAACAATCCTACCCCTTGAGTGAGCACTGAAACCGGGCGTTGAGCACCATCTCGAACACGGGCTACCGTTGACTAGCTAGCCAAACCTCTGACTCGGCTACCTCCCAGCTGACTAACCCTCCTTAATCTGACCCTCATCACGAGTGGTCATCTCTAACGTTCGCCCTCCACTTCCTACTTGAACATAATCTCGCTTTGTTGTGTACATGCGCCGGTCGTGAGCCAGAGTGATCCAAACGTCGCACGTTTCTCACCAACCTTTGGACACTGTGACTCGAGTCAGCTGACCGACCCCCGCTATGATGCGAGCAATGCAATGGTTGACAAGCGGCTAGACATGAGAATACAGCCATTCAAACACCACCATTCACGACATCAACAATACAACCTTTTCTACGGGGTTTATACAATAGCCGGCATTTGTCAACCCTCCCCACCCCCACAACAATAGGGCCCTAGTGACGTCACAGGCCGACGTCCAGACGCTTCTTATCCCCCTCACGACTATTTGCCTTGAAACTTATCCCCCACATTCCTATGCCCCCCCCCCCCCCCACCGTCTATGTCACAACCCTAAGCTCACAAACGTACATAATTTCCCGATTGAATGAACTCAGGTGAGAACAAAAAGAACCTCTCTACTACTAGCCACTAACTGACCATTAGGGTGTTTCATAGAGTTTCAACCATTTTTTAAAAAGTTTTCTTTTACCCCCCCCCCCCCCCACACACACACACACTTTTTCATAAATTACAAAAAAAAATTAGCAGAGCCCGATCTAGTGTCGGTAAATGGAACCATATTTATTACAATTTACAATACAAAAAAAAAGTATTACAAGCTAAATAAATGAGCATTGTGGCGCCTAAATTCTTTTAAAGAGCACCTGACACTGGGTATACGCTGGGACACTTCATTCGATTATTAAACTGTTTAATACATGGATAGTGGTCGATAAATTGGCCTGTATTGTCATTGTTGAACTACGCACAACCTAAATTCATCCCTACATAGACCCCACATTCTGACCACACAGCCACCCCCACCCGTTCCCCACCACACAGCACCCCTCCCCCGCGCCTACTATACACACCCTTCCACCCACCCCTTACCCAAACACCCCTGCTCTACCAATCCCAGCTTCTCCATTGTCAACCTATTAGGGTCATTAGATAATTGTAGATAACCTCTAGACCAACCAGACTACTTGTACCCAAAAGCCCAACTTGACCGCCCCCCTTATCTGACATGGACCACTTTGACCACTAAGTTGACCTCACCATTCACAGCTTAGATTCACCACAAACGTGCAACGGTTGGTCTGCTAGACGGTAAACTAGGCGACAAGTCACGTGACTACCACTTAAAGAAATTGTACCGGCATGAATCATGGGAATGTAGCAGATTTGTATCTGAATAAATCCTTTGTTTTTTTTGTGCGAGGTTGTTTCCCGTATTCGATCAGCCTACATTTGTGTCAGAGTCATTTCCCCTGAGGTCATGGGAACTTATCTACACAAGTGTACGTTCTTAGAGGATGTGTCGCCTTGTGTTTCGAAGTGGGAGTTAATTGCAATGCCAAAGTTAGACACGGGCAGTGGCGTCGCTATGTCGGGTATCACCCAGTGTGGAACTTCGTGGTGTCACCCCCCTCCCCCTCCCCCAAGAAACAATTAATTAATCTTAAATGGAACTGGTTAAAATGCATTTTTCTCCAGTAGATTTTGCAATTTTTGCCTTGGTGTCACCCCTAAAATAGTGTCACCGGTGCGGCCCCCCCCCCCCCCCGAAGAGATGCCTGATAGAAACTCAGAAGTGCAGAAAGTACTGTAATAAGAGAAGAAAGTGCTATAAGAAGAACAAGATGTATGTAGTAAACTGGAGTAAAAACGTGAAAGTCTGACCGTACCAGTAGAGATAGGACCTCTCCAGCAGGGCGTATGGCTCGCCGTCACCTATCAGACCCTGGCATACACAGCACAGGAAACATTCAGGGTGGTACTTGTGTTCTCCTGCTACCTGGAATACAGGGGGGGGGGAGCAGTTAATTTGTGGGTAGTGGTCAACTTATAGGGGCAGTGGTCAACTTATAGGGGCAGTGGTCAACTTATAGGAGCAGTGGTCAACTTATAGGGGCAGTGGTCAACTTATAGGGGCAGTGGTCAATATATAGGAGTAGTGGTCAACTCCGGAGCAGTGGTCAACTTAGGGGAAGTGGTTAACTTATAGAGGCAGTGGTCAACGTGGGGGGCAGTGGTCAACTTATAGGGGCAGTGGTCAACTTAGGGGAAGTGGTTAACTTATAGGGGCAGTGGTCAACTTATAGGGGCAGTGGTCAACTCCAGGGCAGTGGTCAACTTAGGGGAAGTGGTTAACTTATAGAGGCAGTGGTCAAAGTGGGGGGTAGTTGTCAACTTATAGGGGCGGTGGTCAACTCCAGGGCAGTGTTCAACGTGGGATACACTGGCAGTTGTCGATATAGAGACAGTGGTAATTTATGGGCAGTGGTTTGATTGGATAGGCCTTTTTTTCAAACTAAGGTTGACCCCTACACACCATCTTCCATAACACACACACATACGGGTACACGACTCACCATGACAGGACCGGAAGTGACCTGTGAGCAGCCGTTACAGCGGTCCCCGAACCTGGTCCAGTAGTCCTTCCTGCAGTAGAGGTCACCGTGGTTCTGGATGTACCAGTTGTTGAGTCGCTTGCCACATGTGGTACACCTGGAACATAGAGGGTAGTTGTATGATGGGGCAATATATGGGGACATATGTACCAGTTGTTGAGTCGCTTGCCACATGTGGTACACCTGGAACATAGAGGGTAGTTGTATGAAGGGGCAATATATGGGGACATATGTAGCAGTTGTTGAGTCGCTTGCCACATGTGGTACACCTGGAACATAGAGGGTAGTTGTATGATGGGGGGACATATGTACCAGTTGTTGAGTCGCTTGCCACAGGTCGTACACCTGGAACATAGAGGGTAGTTGTATGATGGGGGGACATATGTACCAGTTGTTGAGTCGTACACCTGGAACATAGAGGGTAGTTGTATGAAGGGGGGACATATGTACCAGTTGTTGAGTCGTACACCTGGAACATAGAGGGTAGTTGTATGAAGGGGGGACATATGTACCAGTTGTTGAGTCGTACACCTGGAACATAGAGGGCAGTTGTATGAAGGGGGGGGGGACATATGTACCAGTTGTTGAGTCGCTTGCCACAGGTCGTACACCTGGAACATAGAGGGTAGTTGTATGAAGAGGGGACATATGTACCAGTTGTATGAAGGGTGCAGTTGTATGAATGAGGTAGTTGAATGAAGGTGGCAGTTTTATGAAGCGGGCAGTTGTATGAAGGGGACATTTGTATGAAGGGGGGGGGGGGGGCAGGTCATTCCCCCCTCCCATCAACCCCCCGGAGTAATACCCCCCCCCCCCCCCCGCCCAGTAGGATATTATCCCACTCCCCGGTCATAGCTTGAGGTACAGTTTAGGGTTGGGGCAAGAGCTTGGGTTTGTGTTGGCGCTAGGGTTAGGGCTAGGGTCAGGGTTTGGGTTAGGTTTAGTGTTAGGGTCAGGCTTAAACTAATGTCGTGTTGGGGTTATGTTTGGGTTAAGTTTTAGGCTGAGGTGAATGTTTAGGTTTAGGCTTTTTCTTAAGGTTATTAAATATAGTTCGAGTATGATATAGGATTCTAGGGGGGGAGGGTTAATTCCCCAGGGGGGTAATTGACAGGGAGTAATTGACGGGGGGGGGGTAATGTCCTAGACCCATGAAGCGGCAATAGATGGGGACACCTAAAACACACCCATCGCATGCCTACCACACCCAAAACATTCTAAACACACCCCTAACAACCTAACTACTCACTAAAAATAAAAGTAAAAAGCACAAACAGCCATCGAGCATTAATTGACAAAACCATTTCTCCCACTAGCAGAAAAAAAAACAACCCTCCATCAACCGCTGATGTAACTCCAGTACCAGCCTGCCTATCCTCCCACCATATCAATTATTCATTGATCAACCGCCCAGCCTCCCCCGCTCTCACGGTACGGCCGTCAAATCACACGGTGGAGTACTCTACACAAGTCACGTGATGAGTGCAGGTGCAGCTTCTGGTGCAGGTCGATAACTGTCACAGGCAGGTATAAGTGTCACAGACAGGTATCAGTGTCACAGGCAGGTATCAGTGTCACAGGCAGGTATCAGTGTCACAGGCAGGTATCAGTGTCACAGGCAGGTATCAGTGTCACAGGCAGGTATCAGTGTCACATGCAGGTATAAGTGCCACAGGCAGGTATCAGTGTCACAGGCAGGTATAAGTGTCACAGGCAGATATCAGTGTCACAGGCAGGTATCAGTGTCACAGGCAGGTATCAGTGCCACAGGCAGGTATCAGTGTCACAGGCAGGTATCAGTGTCACAGGCAGGTATCAGTGTCACAGGCAGGTATAAGTGCCACAGACAGGTATAAGTGTCACAGGCAGGTATAAGTGCCACAGGCAGGTATCAGTGTCACAGGCAGGTATCAGTGTCACAGGCAGATATAAGTGTCACAGGCAGGTCTCAGTGCCACAGGCAGGTATCAGTGTCACAGGCAGGTATCAGTGTCACAGGCAGGTATCAGTGTCACATGCAGGTATAAGTGCCACAGGCAGGTATCAGTGTCACAGGCAGGTATCAGTGTCACAGGCAGGTATCAGTGTCACAGGCAGGTATAAGTGTCACAGACAGGTATAAGTGTCACAGGCAGGTATCAGTGTCACAGGCAGGTATCAGTGTCACAGGCAGGTATAAGTGTCACAGGCAGGTATAAGTGTCACAGGCAGGTATAAGTGTCACAGGCAGGTATCAGTGTCACAGGCAGGTATAAGTGTCACAGGCAGGTATAAGTGTCACAGGCAGGTATCAGTGCCACAGGCAGGTATCAGTGTCACAGGCAGGTATCAGTGCCACAGGCAGGTCTCGGTGTCACAGACAGGTATAAGTGTCACAGGCAGGTATAAGTGTCACAGGCAGGTATAAGTGTCACAGGCAGGTCTCAGTGCCACAGGCAGGTATCAGTGCCACAGGCAGGTATCAGTGTCACAGGCAGGTATCAGTGTCACAGGCAGGTATAAGTGCCACAGACAGGTATCAGTGCCTTACAGGTCTCAATGCCACACAGGCCTCAATGACAAGCACAAGCCTTACCGTCACACATAGACCTCGCATGCAGGCTTTAATTCATGCCAACGTTTTAAATAAGATTAAAAACCCAATCTAACCCATTATGTTAGTGCTTAGCTTAAGGATAGTTCTACCAGTGTGCTGAGGTTAAATGATCCTCTCCCTAACCTCTAACCCTTGTCCGTGTTCACGTGAGTTAACCCTACTCTAATCTCAACTAACCGAGTGGACTATCAAGGTCGTCCTCGCCCTGATCAAATCAATGAGTCAGCTCATCGATACATCGATATTTTAGGTTCATCCGGTCTATCGCATCAACACAGGGGCGGTAAGCACAGATTAAATGGAGATAAGCACCGATACAAGGGCGGTAAGCACCGACACAAGGGCGGTAAGTACCCACACAAGGGCGGTAAGTACCCACACAAGGGCGGTAAGTACCCACACAAGGGCGGTAAGTACCCACACAAGGGCGGTAAGTACTGACACAAGGGCGGTAAGCACCGACACAAGGGCGGTAAGTACCCACACAAGGGCGGTAAGTACCCACACAAGGGCGGTAAGCACCGACACAAGGGCGGTAAACACCGACACAGGGGCGGTAATCACCGACACAAGGGCGGTAATCACAGACACAGGGGCGGTAATCACCGACACAAGGGGGCGATAAACGCCGAAATTGTGCTTGCTCACGACCGCAGCAATAAAATCTTTAAAAACAATTACAATCACAAGACAACTGTGTAAACATTGTAACTATATTATTAACTGTCATCGATTATCTTGGTTTAAAAATAACTACCATCACACTGAAATTACGCTAGAAATTACGGGCACCGTAAGGCGTAGGGAAAACAAACAACTCGTGCATCAATATTTTAGCGTTTCTAAAAATAGATTTACATAGAACATAAAAAATGACTTACATAGACAAGCCTTTAGCTTTCAGTAACGATAACTCCTGCCCCATGTCAACTCGAGTTGTGGTAACAGGCGGAGCCACAAAAAACACGGAGGGTGCAGGGGTGTCTCAGGTTCCGAGTTCTATCAGCTGAGGGGCGTCCCGGCGCCCTCCATAGCACCCCATCAATCCACTTCCAGACAAACCCCAGTCCATGTTACGTCACAGGGGTCAGTTATAAGGTCACGGTGTCCACTTGACCTGACCGGCATGCCGCGTAAGACAACTGTAGGTGCCGGAAACGTGTGTCTTCAGTAACGTAACGTAGGTCCTCACAAAGTGACAAGTCTTCAAACACAGAAATGTCCTCACAAACTGATAAATCCTCAAATACAGAAAGGTCCTCACGAACTGGTAGGTTTTTAAAACCAGGTACCTCCTCAAGCAGATAAGTCCCCAACACCAGTTAGATCATCAAACGTAGAAGGGTTCTCACAACAAGGTGCGTTCTTAATCAAAAGATAGGCGGTTAAATCTAGAAGGTCCTTAGAATTAGTTAGGCCCTCAACATTAGATAGGTCTTCAAAAACAGTAAGGCCCTTCAAAACAAGTTATGTCCTCAAAACTAGGTATGTCCTCAGAACTAGACAGGTCCTGAATAATAGTATATCCAGATGATTACGTATATCATGAATACAACAGACCATTAACAAGAATTATGTCCACATTATCAGTTACCTACACACAATACAGCAGCTCATCTTTATAAAGTAGTTCCACAACAAGAAAGTCCTCAAAGAAAAATTATTTCCTCAACAGAAATCTTGTGGGACCACTATGTAACAACACTGTTTACATCTGGCTATTAAAGAAACATTTCACCGTCCCTACACGTAAACAAACAGAAAAACAAATGAGCCAACAAGACTAGGAAGCTGCCTCGTTGAACCAACACCAGGTGGGGATGACTTGCCGCTCATTACCGCAATCAATTCACCTGCACCACGTCACTAATTACAAACGTGAAACATCCACATGTCCGGTTCACGATTCCACAAGCACGATTCAACAACATTTGTATTACACACAACTTTGTGATGTAAACATTGTCACTGTGAGCAATAAACAGATGCTAAACCTTATCAAGAAACAACACACCTTTTTTGTATGAAACTCCACACAGCTTTAATCTATCGCTGTACTCGTACATCTAAATACCGCAGCGTCTAAAACATATAAAACACAAGCCGGAAAACTCCGCGGTCAACCAGTGCGGGATCCGTATCCATGGCAACATTAAAAACCTACACCGTTCACAAGCACGAGTTAATTATATTTATAGATAAAGTAAGTGCCAGAGAAAATAGAACCACTCACAACAAGAGTGTAAGAAAGAAAGGACCGAACTGTTGAGTCAACTCTGTCGATACCGGCGTGTGTCACAGCAGACGACAGGACGGTGACTCACCCAGATGGAGTCACCGTTCTTTGCCCAGCAAAACAAAAACTCCATTTTTTTTTCTAATTACAAACCGTAATTAAGTACATAATTAACTTAAATCATCGAAACTATTGAGTTAATAAATAATGTTCTATTTAAACACATTTTTAAAACATTACAACGCAGTTGAAAAAAAAATCTATAACTACAAAGATATAGCAACGAATGTAAAGTGGATGAGAAATTCGCGAAATAATATCGATTTCTGGTGTAAAACAGCGCAACCATCG